CGCCTGGATGAGGGTGAAGTGGATCTGCAGGGCGATGTCGCCTTCGTCCTCCTCGTCGGTGGCCAGAACGCACAGCACGACGCTGTCGGGGTCCCTGTGCGGGGCACGGGGGGGGGGGTGACAGCGGCGGGGGTGAGGGGTTGCACCATCCACAGCCGTCCTGACCCCCCCGTGCCCCGCACAGGGACCCCGACAGCGTCGTGCTGTGCGTTCTGGCCACCGACGAGGAGGACGAAGGCGACATCGCCCTGCAGATCCACTTCACCCTCATCCAGGCGTTCTGCTGCGACAACGACATCCACATCCTGCGCGTGTCCGGGATGCAGCGCCTCGCCGCCATCCTGGGCGGGGGCGAGCCCGAGCCGGGGGCCGAGCCGCGGGACCTGCACTGCCTCCTGGTCACGGTGAGCGAGGGCAGCGTGACGCGCCCGTGACCGCGCCGGGCGCCGCGCCAGGGGCCGGGGAGGGTGACGGGGCTCGGGGGCCACGTGTCGGGGCGCTGGCGGCACTAACCTCGTGCTCCTCGCTCCCCCAGAACCCGCACACGGACGCCTGGAAGGGCCAGGGGCTGGCGGAGGTGGCGAGTTACTGCGCCGAGAGCCGCGACAGGAACCAGTGGGTGCCCTACGTGTGTCTGCAGGAGCGCTGAGCTCTTCCCGGCCCCTTCCCGGCCTGGACCTGAAGGATTGAAAAAAAAAAACCCTTAAAAAAAAAAAAAGCCGACATAAACCAGCAGGATAAAAAAAGAAGGAGAAAACAGAGCCAGTTCCAACCCACAAACCCAAGAACCCACCGATTTTATTTTTCTTTTTGACCGGAGAGCAGAAGGAGGAGGAGGAGGAGGAGGAGGAGGAGGAGGAGGAAGGGGAGCGCGGCCGCAGCGGTGGGAATGGAGGGGGAGCCGTGCCGAGCCTGGATGGACACTGGCCAGGGCCTGGAGGGACACTGGCTGGAGCCCAGAGGGACAGTGGCCAGAGCTGCCGGCCGAGGAGTCGTGCTGGCCCAGGGGCCGGAGCTGGGGACCCCCAGAGCCCGGGGGGGGTGACCCCAGAGCTGGAGACTGTCAGGATTTTTGGCAGCTGGGACCCGATGGAGGCGAGGACTTGCAGAGGGGTGGAGTTTTTTTGTTGCGAAAACTTGCTTTTTTTTCCAAGGAATTACCGACGTCTGCACAAGATGGACCTGCACACCCCCCCCCGGGGGGTGCTGCTTTTGCACTTGGAGACCCTCGAGCTGAACCTTTTCCAGAGTTTATTCTTATACTGAGCGAGGAACTTAAATTTATTTGCAATAAAATATCTGAAGTCACCCGTGTTTGCTCTTCCTCTGCTCTCCTGGAGCTGTTCCCACGGGGAGTGGGATGGGCCGCTCCTGGGTGGGTTTTGGGGTGGGCTCCAGCCCCCACCTCCCCCTGGGGCTCTGCACGCTGTGGGGGGCCTGTGGGGGGGTCCTTTAGTGCAGGGCTGGGGGTTCCCACCCGTGTGTGGCCTCCCTGCACTGGCTGCTGGGGAAGGAGAAATTCCCACCCCGCCCTTCTCTGGAAAAGGGTCTTTCCAGGAAAAACACCCCCGGGTTGCCCTAAGCTCTGTGGGAAACTGAGGCACGGCCCCCCGGCCGTGGGTGGGGGCTGGCCCGGGGTTATGGGATGGAGCTTCCCCCCACCCCCACAGAAACCACGGCCCCCCGAGGCTGCAGGAACCGGGACCAGCCACCCACGGGGGGAGGAGAGCCTGGGAACCCCCCCCACGCCCCCAGCCCTTCCCACTGCCGAGCTGTGGGAATTCCCTCCCACCCCTGGACAGGGGCACCTGGGTTCTCCCTCAGAGTCCCCCGGGGGCTGGATTTGGGGACAGGGAGGGTGGGCTGAGAACCCAAAGGCCGGGGGGAAACTGAGGCAGCGACTGTGGTGGGGTGTGGGGACCCCCAGGCCCCCTCCTGGAGGCAGAACCCCCCTGGCTGGGCACGGGCTGTGCTCAGGTGTGGGCAGTGTCACACAGGGCCGGGAGCTGTGCCAGGACCATCCTGCCCAGCTGGACACTCTGTCCGGCCGGGCAGGGACACAGTGACCGTCCAGCCTGGCTGGGACACCGTGGCCATGCCAGGGTGTCCTGTGGCTTGGGGACGTGCCCTGTGCCCTCCTTTGGGGCTGTGACCTCAGGGGGGGCACAGGGGGGGCACTGGGGGGATGTGTGACAGCCCCGAGTGAGGCCACACAGCCCCCCCACCGTGGGTACCCCTCCGATGTATCCTGGGGGGTCCCAGGGGACAAGGTGGAGGCAACACCCTCTGAGTGGCCCAGACTGTGACCCCCCCACTGCAGCCAAGGGGGGACACACAGCAAAGACCCCCCGGCCTGGGCCCCCCGGTGTCTGCCCAGACACTCCTGACACGAGCTGGGAGGTCTCAGCTGGGAGCCAGGGGGGGCCATGGGGGCACGGCG